AATGCATCGCTGCCGAACTTGGAACATCAGCCACACGGCCCCTCTAAGACGGCCCCCGTAGCAAAGTGGTTCGGCCCGCATAGCAATTGCCATATCAAGATAGCGAAGATTCGGTCGTGCTCGCTACAACTAGAGGTATGATGGAGCAGAGTCCTTGCCAATCACATAAGTCACTAATTACTAGACGGCTCGGATTCATTGGCATGGACATAACAACTGCATTGTATTGAGATGTAACTGAATCGATAGAAGCTTCTCTAGACTAAACAATATTCGCTCTAGGATAAGTGCCTTCCTTAATTTTCCGTTTTTATTCCTTCTTTGTGTTCAACTCCGTTATTAGATGCGCTCGTGGTGTTGGGGGAATCATTATTGCCTTGACTGTTGGCTTCGTCCCGCCCGGTGGTGCCAGTGCTCGATGTTCTCTTTAGTTCTTCTGTGGTCAGAGGAGCGGTTACTCCGAGCTTTTCCCACTCTCTTATTTCTTCCTCGGTCATTACTCTGGAACCCTTATTGTCGTTGGCATGCATGGCGAGACTGGGAGAGTGCCTAAGAAGGTGGTCAGTGAATAATTGGGTAGAAAAGGACACCTCAAGGAGAATTACAATAGATTATTTTGGAGGCACTTATCGGTGATGATGGTTGCGGATAATTTCTTCTCACAACATCGATATTACACCAGGCATACGGAGCCTTATTATAAGATGTTTATTGTAAAACCCCGCCGTAATAACAGTGATGGTACCAATCAACTGCATTCATGACCTCGGCCGTTTTGCAGGCCTGCGTCTGAGTATGTTAGAAAAAGCATCATGCACCTGCCTTACTTTTAGGGTTAGGACAGCAGAACGAGGGAACTATACTCTCGCCCTGAGACTGCTTTCAAAATAGGCGCATTCCCAAAGTCTCTGTGCAGATCCCTGTGATCGTTGAGAGGACCCCGAAGTAGGCCCTACTTCCTGAATATCCTTGTAGAGGACAGGTCACACTCCTGAAAATGTTCCGACTATCCTTGCACTGCCCTGGGGCAGGGTCCTGAAATCCGACCATACTTCCTGAATATCCTTGTAACAATACAATGGATCCCGAAACCGAACCCTTGTGAAACCCCACTTCTTTGTCAACAGTTCCCGAACTGGTGCCTTAGGCCTGACTCTGAAATGACGCGCTTAGGACCAGCAGCCCTGCAAGAATCCCTCCGGGGTGAGGGGTGGTGATAAGAAAAAAGAAACCATGAATGACTGCCAAGTGATGTAAGAAAATTGATGTGTAATTCCACAGAAATCTTCTGCTCATGGGAGTGATGATATGCCCTCCAAACCAGAAAAATAACATTAAAACCTTTCGCGATTGTTGATGATATGGGCACAACTGATGGATTCGTCGGATAAACTCGGTTTTTTAGGCGGGCCGAGGCGGAGGCAGTTTGTGCCCGATCATATGCCCTATCGCGACCCCGCCGAGGGGTAAGAACCCAACTCTGTCATCATGACTTTTTTCAACAGAGCGCACCTCGCTTCTCACATATGTTCGTCATCGTAACGCATGGGCTTTCTACCAGAGGAGACGAACAAGCGGCAAAATAGTTTGGGGCAAGTACAGATTAAAGAGGTTCCGATGGTAAGTGTGCAGTGCAGCTTTGTTTGATAAATCCCTCATCTGACATTATTAGGAGAACCAACTTAACGAACCGAAAGAAATCACCGTAACCGACTTCAGCGACTTTAAAACAACCCCACTACGTTTAGTGGGAAAAGACGGAATGGTGTATTGGAAAGACTGT